GCTGTGGGGTGGGGAGGGGTTTCTCTTGGGGTGCTGGAGGGTCCGGGAGGTGTTAAGGGAAGGGGAAAGGCCTGTCTTGGGTGCCTGCTAGCTTTCCCGAACCACACCGCCAGCCCCAGGCTGTGTCTGGAGATGGGGTGGATGCTGTGACCTTGCGATGGGGCGTGTGACATGGTCACTGTTAGGATCCTGAGCAAGGAGCGCACTGAGAGAACTGCCTTAATGCACCGCTTGGCTGGTGGGTGATGCGGCTGCTTCCCAGCTCCTGAGCCTGTGGGAAAGGGGCTGGACAGCTGCTGGGCTTGCTCAGTCCCTGCGTTGGGGGGAGTTACCTTAGTGTTTCATCACCTTAGACTGAAGAGAAGCTGCGCACACCTGGAAAGGCAAGTAATTCCAGAAAGGTCAGCCAGATAGTCCAGCGAAATGGAGATTTCTGTTACTGAGTGACTGAGTTTTTTGTAAAATATGGAGAGATTTTACCTCTGGAAATGCTGCATCTAGGATCTTAGAGGATTCCAAAAACATTGTCAAGCTTTGAGGCACTGTTATATTGTAGGCAGTTAGGAGTAGTGTCACGATTCTATGCAGCACTGTATACATTTTTTTCTAAAAAGAATAAAAGAGCAAACAATGTCAAATAAACTCAATTTTAAAACTTGAGTGATGTTTAAATATAGGTGCTTTAAAACATTAGTGGCTCTAAGTAATAACTTAGATTATGAACCTTAAGCATGTAAGTAGTCCTGTTGATTTCAGTTAATCCGTAGGGTTATGCTTGTGCATGGTCTTTGCAGAACTAAAGCATCTGTCTGTGTAAAATTTAGATTTAAAAGACCAGAGACATCCATGAAGTACTGCTGAACTAAATCAACTTCAGTGTTCCTCTCACTGCTTGGTGAAGTAATTGATTTCTTCTTTAAGTGGGCCTTTTCACATAGAGGATAAAATTTAAAAATAGAGGAAGAAATGTATCTGAAATTACAAGGAAATGTGTACGTGAAGGTACTTCTGTTGTATGGATGTATGAAGTAATTTCAGTTGAACTAGATGATCGTTGTATGTCCCTTCCAACCGAACTATTCTATTCTTATGGATAAAATACCAAAAGTTATTTCAGTGAGGATTCCCCTGCTTAAAATCAAATGGGGCTAGATGTTGGAGGATCAAAAACATTTTCTTTAAGTAGTCTTTGTTTTCATTGGGATGGTTTCTTTGGCTAGACTTCTGTAATTGTCTAAGACTTTAAGCAAAAAGTGATACTAGAGACAGAACAATGGAAAAAAGGTGAAAATACTTTTTAGCGGTCTGACAAATAAGACTATTAATCTGTTTGGTGGAAAACATTCTAATACGGTTTGTTTGCTTGTTACCATCATGATCCCTAATGTAATTGAGGGGGCAGTTATCAATTCTTTGGGAACACAGAACAAATAGCCTTGTGGCATCTACTGTGTCTTCTAGATTTGTAATTCAGCAGCATCGCATCCTTATGTAGAGAGAGAAACCGAGGCTAGGGGCTTCAGAATGATTCGAGCAATTGTCTGCTTCCCTGGAAATTAGGGAATGGGGCTAAGTTCTCTCATTCATCCCAAATTTTGTTTTATGGTATGACTTACTTTGGACAGCAAGTGTTTCCCAGCCCTGCTGAAAGGATTACCTAGCTTTTGAGAGCAATTTGAGTAGCCCTTGCAGGAGGGTGAGAGGTTCTGAGAAGGTGAGGTGAGTACCAGGAGTGAAAGCTTATACAACTGTACAAATGTAAGTCTTTTCCTCCCTCACAGGTCAGAGACTTTAGGGTATTCCTGCACGGATGGAGTCCAGACAGACATGAACTACCGTTCCTGCCTGCTGGCTGCCTTCTTCCTTCCTGCCTGGAAATAATATAGCACTATTAGTGCCATGTTTTACTATGGCTGTGATGCCTGCGGAGAGGCTGGGCCTATCAGCTTAATGGCAGGAACGCACTGAAAGCAGCTTTGCAGCTCTCAAGTTAAGAGCTGGGTGGGTCTGTCTGTACCTGAAGATAGACTGAAGACCCGTGGTGAAGGCGGGTGTCCCATTTGCTTTCGCAGTACAGTTAGCTATTGTAGTAGAGCTATTGGTAGGGCTACATTAAAAAGAAAATCACTACAGCTAGCTAAAAATACCTCCCCGTTCTTTTTTTTTTAACCTGTTTTTTTAAAGTGATCTTAACCTGTATCCTTTTAGTTACCTTATTTATATCAGAAATGTTTGTACTTGCATTTCTAAGGGGCAAACAACTGCATACAAGGCAGAAGCGAGTGAGAGGTGACAGCTGGGAACTTCCTAGGTTTGGCCTTCATTGTAAAATTAGTGTCTCTTCAAGTTATGCCATGCACATGGCACAGATGTGAATAGGCTAGAGATCTCATTGCCTTTCCTTCTATGCTACATTACTCAGCAAATACATTGAAATGCAGAGACTTATTTTTTCAGGCTCTTAGGAAATTTACGGAATTCATATACTCTGTGCGTTATTTTTCAGTGCCCTATAACCAAATATTGCAGCTTTTGAATATTACTTTAAAAACTTTTGCTCTATGGAAAAAGCAACAATAAATGTAATTCTGTTTCATTGTACGATGAAACCTCCTTAAGCTAATCCAGAACACGTTGCTTCTATAAAAGGCAATGCTGCTTATCATTTTCTATACAGGTGTATTAAAACTAGTTGATCTCCACATTTTACAAGCTAAGGAAGTGACCATTGATACAGATAAATATGGATTAGTGCATTATTTTTGTATTGGCTTTCCCTAAGATGGCTTCAAAATCTTAGCTGTGAGGCCAAGGCTGGGAAGTGGAGAGAAGATGACGAGAAGCAAATCTGGCTTGTCTTTTTAATAAGTTAGATTTTGAAAAAACTGAAAGGCAAGCAAACCTATCTGAAATACTACATCTATGTGTATCTTTTGGGTAGGCTAACGTTAAATGACCTGTAGTTCTGAAGGTAATACATATCCTTTAATAGTATTGTTTTGATTTCTATTTATTATAATGGGATTGTAAAAAATAATAGTAAATTTAGAACTGGAAAGTGAAAAATATGTGCACAGTGAACAATAAATGCCTCAGTTTGCCCAGTTCTGAAGCAATTTGTGAGATAATGTATCACTGATACTTACAGCTCTGCCTTTGCTGAAGAGGAGCAAAACAAACAATGCTGGGAAGATGGTTTCTAATAAAAGTATCTTTTATTAAATTCAGGAAAGCTACTTTATTGTTGGTCACTTGTCTTCTGCTTTAGATATAATCCGTACTATCCGGGACCCGGAGAAACCTAATACTTTAGAAGAACTGGAAGTGGTAACGGAAAGCTGTGTTGAAGTGCATGAGATAGGTGAAGATGAATATCTGGTTATCATCAGGTTTACACCAACAGTACCTCATTGCTCTTTGGCTACTCTCATTGGTAAGATTTCTGTTTCATTAAATCTGTAACAATGAGCATAAAGTTAATTTTGGGTTGTCTGAATAACATCAGTTTTAGTTAAAATTCGGTATTGCTTTGCCAGCAGTTTGACCAGGAATTTAATCTTGAGAACCCTACTAGCAATACAAACAAACAAAAACCAGAAGAAATGTGGGGACATCCATCTGTTTTTTAACAAGTTAGGGAAACTCTTCAAAGAGAAGCTCTCACAAATCTACTGGGAGGTGGTACAGAATTCCTTCTTTATATTTTCCAAATTATTTTAGTAATGTTAAATTAAAAATTTTGTCAGCTCTTAAATTTAAAAAAAAGTTAAAACTTTATGATTGTTTCCCTTACCTTACGGATTGTTCTCCATTCCCACACATGTACAAAAAACCCCATGTGCAATCCAAGAATACAAAAAAAATTCTGGACTGTTAGGAGTTTGAAAGCAATTAAGTTGAATGAGAATCTACACTGGCTTATTTTGCTTTTTTTCTTCCTTATTATTTGTGGTGAGATCACATCTGAAAAGTCACGTCTGAGATCTCTGAAATGATTTGTTTAAATGTACCAAGGTTAGCAACTCTTACTATTATATATAAATACTAAGTTTTCTCAGTCTATTTTAAAGATTTAAAGGAAAATGTCTTTAATTTAATGAAGAAGTACTTATGTTTATGCCCAAATAAACCTTCGCAGCTTTATGTAGAAAGTAAACTATAGATAGTAAAGCATTAGCATGCCAAACAGTAATAATTTATTTATAGTTTGACCCTGTTAGGAATGTCAGTGGGTTCGGGCTCAGACCTGAGGATCGACGATGTACATGTCAAATCTTAAACTTCGTGCTAATCGTGTTCTCAGCACTTAAATGTCAGCCAGGCATTGATGTCTGTTTGATTGTGCAGTCGTTACCAATATTGTGTGACCTCTGGAGCATAGTTCCTCATGCTGTTACAGGAAAGGGTTATGGTAACTGTTTTAAATAGTTGGGTAGTATATGTAAGAATGTAGGCAGTAAACAGTTTTTCTTCCGAACTTCCTTATCTGTACAGAGTAATCTAAGCTGGTAGTTTTTTTGAGGGGTGTTTTCTATTGCTGTATCACTGGCTCAGCCTGAGGACAAACTGGGGCTGCAGCATGGCTTTGTCTGTGCATAGCTTATCGCAAAGCCAGGCCTTGTGGGGAAATTGCAATGGGCTAGTGGTAGGGGTGTCCCCAAACTTGGATCTCGCTCCCAAAGATGAACCACAACACTCCTCTGCTCAGTCTGTATGTGTCAGACATTAAATAGTGAAGTTATGAGCTTGAATTGCCCCCAAGTCATTGCAGGCTTGTGTTCTTCAAGCAATTTATGTTGGATTTTTTTAACAAATGTTAGAAAACAAAACAAGCATTCTTCTCAGTACAGATGCAGCCACAGTGACAGCCGGGAAGCTCTGTCAAAAATATAGAAGAAAGCTGGAAATGGAGGAATTTGTCTGTATTGAGGTTTTAGAGACCAGAGACCTCCTAACCTTGTAAGGCAGGTATGAGCTTAACTGAGAAGCTAGGGGTCAAACCACAAATTATTTAGTCTCCTCTGTGGCTTGTGCTGCTCAGAATATAAAAGGAGAAGGTTGTCAATTATACTGGTGTTTTCTGGTTGTTAAATATGGATTCTCTGAAAATGCACCTTGAATTTTACAAGAAAATTTCTTCTCTGTTTTGTTTAAACAGGCCTTTGTTTAAGAATAAAACTTCAGAGATGTTTGCCTTTTAGACATAAGGTAAAGTATCTGTTCTGGAACTTGCTTTAAGCTACATGGATGTATGCCAAGTTCTCTTTAAAAGAGCGTATGCTGCAGGATCAAGTAACGTGCAAGCTGTGATTAAGGATGGGGTCTTTATAAAGCTTGTCATTTGCCTATAGAGGGAGTGAACATTGCAGTACAGTGTAGCACATGGAGGGATCTGTGGTTCTTCCTTTCCTTCACAAAAGACCGTTTATTGCTGCACTTCTGAAATACACTGTGTTTCAAGGGATTTCCTCACCAGCTGTCATTCGGGTTCTTGCTTGGTGGAAGAGAGGCTGTTTTCAAATCCAGTGTTACACAGAATCGAAGTCATACTTTTGCCTTGGGGAAAATGAATTTGGCCTTCTGCAATATTTCAATGTATCTAAGCATCATAAATATAAAATATTAATACTTATTGACTCTGCTGTACCATTTGGAATATCTGAGAGTTGTCTCCAGTGGACCAACCCTCTGTGAGCGAGCCCTGAAAGCAAGAGAACTACTCTGTCGTCAGTTAGAAGCGGTTAAGGGGAGTTCCACTGCTTTATGTAGGCATCATCTAGGAAGTAAAAACTTCAGAACAGGTTTGTTAGGGTTTAGAAGAACTGCAGAACTCAAAACTGGAACTGCATTGAGGAATCTCTTTATGACCTGTGTCTTAGGAACTGTTGTATAGATGGCATACAGTCCTGACCCTGGTCAATATACTGTCCCTAACAGGGGCCAGCCCTGCTACGCTGCTGGAGTGTGAGAAACTATATAGGAAACGGGGTTAATATATCCTTAAAGAAAGCTGTTTGAGTCTTAGCAGGAACTAAGAGTAGACCTTTAATGACAAACATAGTCTTTTATAGGCCTTTAGAAACTTGCCTGAAATAATTTAAAGTATAAATTCATTAGCTTAGGATTTCTGGTTTTATTTTGATTTTTTTTTGTTGTTGTTTTGTTTTTAATAGTTGCTAGCTTCATCTTTCCAGTTAAATGGTGTGAAATGAGACTTGCATTTCTAGAAAATTAGGTAGACGGTGATTTGTTACGCTGGACACATGGTAACAAATAGGTTTAGCTTAGTGAGGTAAGATAAAAGGCATAGGATTTGTTTACTTGGTTTTCCTTTGGTACGTCAGTTTTATGAGATCTCCGTGCAGCTCAACACGTGAGGGTTTGTTTGTTGTTGTTTTTCCCAGGCCTGTTAAATGCATGAAGGTGATTTAGGTCTGTTTAGATTCTAGTCTTATAATCTTTTCCCATGCAGGAAATAGATACTGCATTACACTATTTTCAAATAGAATATCTGTGATTCTTATCATTGAGCAGAACTTATTAGGAATATCTTCTTAGGAATCTCTTCCTAAGGATGTCTTTTGAAGAGTGCTTTGCTTGTGAAAGTGACACTTGCATTTCTGGTGGCTTTTAAACAAATTGTTCCTGAATTGTGGCCTGCAGTGAACTTGTTGGAAAAGCAGTGCCAATTCTCCACTCTGTTTCCAGTAGCCTAACTGCAATTACTTTTTCACAAGAGCAGTTGATATCAATGAGGAATGAATGCCTCCATAATTTTAAAGGAAGATTATTGGGGCCTCTGTGAAATGGGGGAGGAGATTGTCTTGTGTGCGTGTTGCAGTGAAGTCTAAGATCAGCTCTTGTCATCGATCCCCTTTCGTTGTCTGTGAACATCTTTAAAAGTATGAATTACATGCATTGTATGTGTGCTGTACAATTTTTTTCTTCCAGTAATGAATATGTTCAACTGTTGATGTATGCATCTAACATTAATGATCTCTCCTCTAGCTGGAAATCTACATATCTGAAGGTACACATTCCACTGAAGAAGACAGTAAGTAGAGCTTATGAATGCGTGCAGCTTTAGACTGCGTGTTTGTGTTCTTTTGAGAGGTCCTTTTCTTCCTCTACCTTGCTATCCTTTCCAGGAATGAATACACTGTTAAAGCTTTAAAATGAAACATGTAGTTGAGGCTGTTTCAAAACCTGTATTGGTACTGTGAACATATGCTTGTTGTCGTCGTTTCATTTTTTTTGAACAAAAAAAACCCCCTAGTTCTTGCAGATGTTGAGTTGTGTTTATAACAAAAGAAGTTGCTACTGTGCTGCTGAATAATGAACAGAAAGAACTTCCTGACTGGTTGATCTTGCTATCTTAACATCATCATAACAAAAATATATGTTTCTCAGTCAATGTTTAAAGTAAAACTTGCAGGACATCGAAATTCTTTCAAAGCTGTAGCCAAGCACTGGCTTAAACAGCTGTTAAAGCCGTTGTCCAGGCAATGTCCCAGGCTTTTTTGTTTTAAGCATTAGACATCTTTGTATGGGGAAAATCGGTTCTTTTGATTAATTGATTAGAAATTGAACCTGGAGAACTTGGACTACTAATTTGTCACAGATTTCACGTTTTATTTCAAGACATGCCATTAGTGCATCTTACATTCTTTTCCTAAACTGGAAAAGTAACAAAAATGTTTGGTTTCTGATGGTTGGTTTTTGTGACTGACTTTAATTTGCTTTGTTCTCAGTTTCCTATTAATCCTCTGTCCTTTCACTACTGGCTCTTGAGCACCCTCATATTCTTCTTGTCGTCTTGTCCTTCTATTGTGTCTGGCACAACCTTCTTGTTCTAGGCTGTGCAACTTAAATGGCTGCCTGTACAGTGCTTTATCAGCTAGTGTACAAATTTCAGTTTTGGATATTATGCAAATAACATCTTCCACCTAAAAAGAAAATTGGAAAGAAAGTTGACACAATATACTATTACTGTACAGCAGCATTTTCTCAGTCTTTGAGCTGGCCATTCACTAGATTTGGAAAATCTTCACTGCAGTATGATATCTAGCATTTCTCATGTTGCGGATGCAGTATGTGTAAAGTACCACTGAAAACTGCTTCTGACTTTATCTTTCATGTAATGTTTTGCAGTCAACAAGCAAATCAATGACAAAGAGAGAGTAGCAGCTGCGATGGAGAATCCAAACTTGCGTGAAATTGTGGAGCAGTGTGTTACAGAGCCTGACTAGTAGCTATAATACTCACAGAGTTATCTTTTTTGATACATTTCTTAAAATATCTTTGTTTAAAAAAAAAAAGAAATTAATAATAATCAAGGCCTTGAGTTTAATACTTGAGTTCTTTTTATCTTCCACATGTTTTTTAAAAGAAATTGTTTATAAGATAGATTTAAATTATGATTAATTAGTCTCTAAAATAAAGTGAAGTGTATAGTGTTAAGAGTTTGTAATTTCTGGTGTCCAGAGAAATATTTTATGATTAAAAACAAAACAACACATATGTATTGCCTTCTGATAGACATTGTGATATAAATTGAGTTTTGCAAGTTAAATTTCTACATTGTTTCAATCACTGCACTGTAAAAATAAAACAGATTCTTGTACTGAAATGCTGCTTTCTGAGTTCAGAAATGTTCTTTTTTTTTTTTCTCCTTTAAGCTTTGGTTTAGATTTCTGTTAGAGAAGGAAACATTTCATTCAACTTCTTCATTGTTGATAAGCACATTAAAGCTGAAATGAATTCAGAAAAAGAACTCGGAACCAAGGGACTGGACTAGAACAAGGTAGATTTTTACTGGGACACTATTCCTGCTAAATATTTCCTTTTTTTCTCTGTAAGTACATGTTTCTGATTCTGCAGGTTTTGCTTTATAATTATCCTGGGGGTAAAGTTTTCCTATGGACGAGATCTTGCCAGTTTGATCCTGCTTTTTCTTATGACTTACCTGCAGTGTGGAAGGTGAGAGAATCCCACAGCCCTTCACCCCTGTGGTTCCCACTGTCCTGTTTCTTTTTGCTGCTCCCTCACTAATCTTATCTGGGGCGTCTGTAATGTTGCCAGCTGTCACATGTTTTCTCCCTGGAAAAGTTCCCTAGGGTTCGTTTCCATTGCAGCTGTGGATTTGACCATGGATTTACCTTTCCCTGAAGAATTAGGCAGATATTTCTCACTCAGCTGTCCTCCCAGTGGAAGTGATGTTCAGTATCTGCCGTGCAGCCACAGGAGGGCCTCAGTGGTAAATGTACGTGCAGGGAGAAAGGCTGGTGTCACCCATCTCATGCCCCATGGCACCTGACAAACTATTCATGTATCCCAGGGGTGTGTTATCTGGCCAATGTGTAGTCGTTATCCCCTGCAGTGGTTCATGAGAGATTTAGGGAGCCATTGCTCCATGAAACAGTGATTACTCTAGTGGGCTTGTATTTGGTTAAATGGTGAGAAATCCTTGGAGTTCAGTGCAAACATCTGTTGAGATTTCAGGGATTTGTAACCATTTTAATAATAAGCCACATAAAGCTTTCCTGAAGGCATAAAATGGTTGAATGGATTCCAGCTAGGCTACGCATTATAAACAGTGGGGGAAATTTTTCCCTTTGTAAAATAGTATACTGACACATGTTACAGCTGTGCCAACAAGAGCCCATAATCTCCCTACTTTCAGTGCCAAAGTTATCTTAAAAAAAAGAAAGGGGGTGGGGGGGGAGAAGAGAACAATCCCCTTTTTCCATAGGTTACTGCACATCTGCAGAACTGTCAGTTCTAGTGTACGTGTGGAAAATTACTTTCTTAACTTCAGTTACTCAGCTTCAATGAAATTTTACTTAAATTTCAAAAGCCTTTGTGCCCTCATTGCTTACCCTGAATTTAGCTTGAGGGAAGTATGTATGTCCTTAAGCAGCACTTTCTACAGATGCTTCTGTAAAGTGTAGTTAGATGTAAGCTTAGGTGTGGGACACTATGTCCACCACCTCAGGTATTCAGCAGAATGTGAAGGGAATTAGCTACTTGATGTTTGCGTGGGAAACTAAAAACTTGGTACTATTTCCAAAATAAATAAAGAACCCATGGACTAATTTTTTTTAGAATCCTACTTTGGGCAAAACGTAAAAGCTGTGTGTTTAGACTCCTGCTGGAATGGTCTATCATGAAGTATCTTAAAGGATGCATTTTGCAAGGTTTTCTGGTGTGTGTGGTTTTTTTGTTTGTTTGTTTTTGTTGGGTTTTTTTTTTTCCCTAGCTGGGAAGATTCATTAAATGGTAGCTACTTCTGTAAAATAATTTATTTTCTATGAAAAGCAGGTGGAGATGTTTTCCGATGATAAGGTTCCCACTTTTCCTGTGCCATGCCATTAAAACAGAAGTATAGAACAATGTTTTTCTTTCCCACTGTTTACTCTTTAATAAACTAGTTAGATGGTAACCATTGCAAATTGTAGTTTCAGTAAATGCAATTAGTAGTTCAGTTCAATATAAAGGATTCATTCTGTGTAGTTACTTGTCATCATCAGCGCAGCACTTCTAATACAACTCTTCCTCCAAAAACTTTTGATTTGCTAAATCATGATGTACTGTGATGCTTGTACTGTTCCTTGCAACTTCTGTTTTCATTTATTGCTCTGTGAGGCTTGTTGTCATGCATCGTATCCAAAATGGCTTTGAGGCAATGTTTGCAGGTCTGCATAAAGTTGGTTTAAAAGAGAATAATACTTCATATAGAAGAGTCTCTATTTCCATTTAAAAATTAAATCTAAACTGACTTTGTTTCTATTAAGTAGAAGCAATCTGTCATTTTTTTTCCTGTTCAAAAGGAGAAAAACAAAAGCAAAGGATTTTTTAACTATTAATGATTTCTGGAGGGAAGGAAATGAGCAGAGCTAGAAATGTTTTGGAAGTGTTCTCCCACAAGGGGGAGCGTTGAGAAAAGATCACAGAATGATTTAGGTTGGAGGGGACCTTCAAAGATCCAACCTCCTGCCAGGGACAACTTCCCCTGGACTAGGTCGCTCGAAGCCCTGTCCAACCTGACCTTGAACACTTCCAGGGATGGGGCATCCACAACTTCTCTGGGCAACCTGTCCCAGTGTCTTGCCACCCTCGTAGTAAGAATTTCTTCCTTATAACTAACCTAAATCTACGCTCTTTTAGTTTAAAACTGTTACCCCTGGTCTTATCACTTCAGGCCCTGGTAAAAAAGTCTCTTTCTTCTTATAAGTCCCCTTTAAGTATTGAAAGGTCTCCCTGGAGCAGCCTTCTCTTCTCCAGGCTGAAAAACCCCAGCTCTCTCAGCCTCTCTCCATAGGAGAGATGTTCCAGTCCTCGGATCATTTTCGTGGCCCTCCTCTGGACCTGCTCTCTATGTTCGGGAGCTTTCAAAAAACCTGTGCTCGTATTCATTCTCCTTTTTATTTTCCCTTTTTCATTCCTTAAAATCAATTCTTTTTGCCTTGAAGGGAAGCCTAGCGCACCCACCAGCAGCCAAACCCAGGGCTATATCCCAGGTCCTGGCCCGGTGCCGGCACAGAGGATGGCTGAGAGCACACAGACTCCTGGCAAGGGTGAGGGTAACCACAGCTCAAAGGCTGTTTTTATTTGCTGTTTGTCTTTCTTTTTTGTGGGCTGTTTAATACTGGTCCAAGATGTAAATATATGGGGGCAAAGATGATTCTCTTTATCTGAGTTCCAGGTTACACTGGTTTAAAGCTGCCATTAGAGACTGGGGAGTTGTCCCTCAGAGCCATCTCTTTATCTTCTAATTCCACATTTTACATTTTTTGCCTTTAAGCAGAAACTTTCTCAGAAAACTTTCATCTCTTGAGAAAACTTACTTGTTACTGCCAGATGTCCCAAAATAGCACTTACATGCCTTTTTTCTCTTTGTCTCCTGCCATACCAAAACTCCCGGGTTTGATCTTTCATGCCGATACTCTGGGAACTAGATGGAAGAGGTCAGTTTTCAAGTGCGAGACTCGGGCAAAGAAGAAAAAGCCTAAACCCTCTTACATGTTTGTAGTAAGAGATGTATTCAAGAATACTAAATTTGAAGACAGATCTGGATTTGTATTGCCCAAATTCTAGAGTGGTTCTGTCTGTGGTTCAGCGTGCTGCAGGTGTAAATTATATTCCAGAAGTACATTTTAAGTATAAAAGTGAAACACCTCTGCTGTTGGGAGTTTTTTGGATGTGCGGGTCTCCTTCTACCACTGCTTTTTGGGTGGGTTTGATGAAATCTCTGTGGCAAAGCTACTTGCGTCAAAGTGCTGGTGATTGACAAGACAAATTTTGATTAGTTATTCTAACCAAGCCTTTTTTTATCTTTCTGATATTTTTAAGCATTATTTTAAAATGTTATGAGGACAAGAAATGTAAATGTAACTGTTTGCTTTGGTTGGTATTTATTAGATGAGAATATTTCTTGTCCTAGGTGGATTTTCATGAAAATACTTTCTTAAGCATCGTATCAGGATGCCATTTAAAATTGACTGAATAATCAAATAATGTCCTGCTGTAGTAGGCCTATAAACTGAATGGATTTTCTTTTCCACTTGATAACAATTCTTTTTTTTTGAAGCAAGAAAGTTAATATTTTTGTAGCACAATACAGCATTTTCATGACATTTCCATGAGCTGTTGAAGCTTCTTTCTGGTGGATCTACTCCCACATAGAAAGCATCAAGAGAAAAATAAGAGAATCTTATTTTGATTAAATGTTCCTTATGTCAGGCAAGTATGTCCTCATGCCATTGCTGTGTAAGCAGAGACACTGCTTGTCAGGATTCGTTACAGGAAGGAAACGGGCAACAGTTTCAGCTGCTTTACACTGAAATGAACACAGAGCTTTAATCGCAACGCATCTGGCGCTGTCCGCTTCCCATCCTGTCCTCAGAAAACAGCTACAGGAGGGAAATATCTCTAAAGCAATGGTTTTACACAGAGTGGGAGGATGAAGAGAGGTTTTGCACTTCCCCACCAGTGCTGAATCGTGCGGCACCTGCTTCTGCATCCCCTGATGTGCCCACGCGGTGGGCAGCGTCTGTCTGTTCCTCCCAGCTGGGGCTGTACGCTCCTTGAAACGTGCCATGTGAGCTTATTCTCTGATTGGGAATGAGCCCTGACACCTTCTTGCGGGGAGCTCGGCATGGCGCAGGAGAGCAGCGCTGCACACAGCTGTCCACACCGGGCTTTGACGGACGTGGGTGCAGGGGCTGCATCCCATCCCAGTTGTGCACCAGGGTCATCGCACTGTCCATAAAGATCTGTCTTAGGACTTCCCTGCAAAACCAGCAGCAGATCCCTGACTAATCCCTTGAGTACCTAAATCATATAACAAAGGGAAATGGTGTCTCAGTGTCAGAGGGAAAGCCATAAAGGCATCGCTTGATGGCAGAGGCTGTCATTGCTGAATTTCTGGGAAGGGATTAATGGCAGCCCTGAAAGGTGCAACTGCTTTTCCTATTCCGTACTTGATTTTGCCACAGTCCAGAGACAGCTGTTTGATAGATCAGTTTTCATTTGAATGATATGTCTCAGAGGAAGCTTCTGCTAAACTAGTTTTCAAGGGATGAAAGTCTGTGCGCAGGAGG